TCATTTTGTGCCCACATGTTTCGACGGGATTTGAATGGCGTAGGCTTCCCTTCCCAAGCGGCTCACCCCTGAACAAAGCCGAGTGTCAGGCCGGGGGAGTTCTTGTGCCCATTTTCCAGAAACCGGTGGATAACCGGCGGCAGCGGGATTCGAACCCACGACCTTCCGCAGCCGAAGCGGACACTCTACCACGAGGCCACGGCTGCTTTTTTTTTCTTTAATGAATGACATTATCACCAGTAAAGTGCACAGAACATACTTCATCAGAAGTCAGGCAAACACACACAAGCGTCAAGAACGGGAAGCCACTCCGGAACGGGGTCAAAAGTCTCGACAACACTGCGAACTTGAGCAGCTGCTTCTCAGAAGACAGATCTCGTCGACCGTGGTGGCTCGGCGGGTCTATCAATCATGCGACTTTTCCATAATGAATAAAGTCCCAACAACATAAACAAGTCGTAAGGAGTACTATCAGTCAGACTCTTATTGAACGGAAGGAACCTAATACCGTGGGCTGTGACTGGAAGTTCTTTTCTTAACGTTCACTTTATGATGTCCCAAAAATGAAAAAGCATCACGACGATGAATAAAACAATGCTCTATAGTCTCAGGTTGGTTGCAGAGTCTACAATTCACTGTCCAGGGTACGTATATTGATTTTTCATTCAGCCACGTTTTCACTGGCAGCGTGGAAGTGTGCAGTTTAAAGAAAAATGTTTTCGATGAAGAAGATATACACATTATACGTACACGAAATAATACATCGTGACCAGACAGAAGCAAATATGGCTTTCGATAAACAGGTTCGGGGAAAAGATTATTCACAAGTGCAGCGGTTAAATTTGTTCTGTCAATAGTATAGAAATACTCTAAGGTAAACCTGGCTTTCAAAAAACTGACAGTATCAACAAATTCTTTTAGGAATCCCCTCAACGGCAATTCCTTAGCAACGCTTGTTGTGACATGAATAAAAGGAAGGTGGTAACATAGACGGTTACCAAGAACCGCTAATAGAAATGGGTGGCACACATCCTTGAGGTAGAAAAATCGCAACACCAATGGTCGCACGAACAAATGCACAAGGCCGACGCCACCCTTTTCAAGTGGAAGAAAAAGATTGTCTCTTCTCATGGGTTTCTGGGAAGAGCTCCAAACAAAGCAGGCAAATATCCTATGAAAGGCTTGAATGTGTACCCGAGAGCAATGCAACACATGCAGAATATAAATAAACTTCGATACAAGGAACATATTGCACGCTTTCGCTCTGGAAAAAATGGAAAGCTCCCGTCCGTGCCATGTTGCCACCTTTCGGTGGATCGTAGTTATCGCAGCGGTCCAGTCTGGGCCGCTGTTACGATAGTTATCGAGAGGCACACCAAGGTATTTCATAGGAGTCGCATTCCAATGAATATTTGCGAAGACCGAAGGAGTTGTAGCCCACATTCTTAGCCAGAATCCAGTACTTTTATCAAAATTTATGCGGGCGCCAGCGACTTCACAGAAACGTAAAGTAGTGTTGACTGCTTCTTGAACGCTGGGTTTATCAGCGCAAAAGAAGGCAATGTAATCTGCATAAGCTAGAACTTTAACTTCCTCAGCATCATATCGGCAGCCTCTTATGCTGGACTTTAGAAGCACACTTAAACATAATGGTTCCAGATAAATTGCAAAAAGCAAAGGTGACAGCGGACATCCCTGACGTACAGATGAATTTAACTCTATTATATTGGAAAGTGTGCGATTTACAATTAGCCTAGTGTTGCACTTTTTATAACAGAGTGAGATGCCATTGTATAGTACATCACCCAACTGCAGGTGTCTTAGGAGCCGGAACAAAAAACATGCTGTACCTTATCAAATGCTTTCGCAAGGTCTATTTGAAGGAGGGCTGCTTGGTCCATGCTACCATCTACTCAAGAACTGAACGTGCAATATGAATGTTTGTCTGTATAGAGCGACCACGAATTCCACATGTTTTGTGGTCACCTACACATTTAGTAATCACTGTCTGTAGCTGATTTGTCAACAATTTAGAAAATATTTTGTAGTCAACGTTACATAACGATATAGGCCTGTATTCGTTAACTCCCTTTAATGCATTAGGATCAGCACTTTTCGGGATTAATGTTGTATGGCTCTGATAAAAAGGAGGAGAAAGTTCACCACGGTCATAATCCTCTTTAAAAAGTTGCTCAAGGAAAGGTATCGGAAGTTCCTGAAAAGCTATGTAAAATTCGCCACTAAGGCCATCTGGGCCAGGAGTTTTGTTTTTTTGCAACGTTTTTATTGCAAATCTAATTTCCTCTCTGGTTATTGGCCCCTCTACAGGAAGTCTATCATCATCTTGTAACTGAGGCACAAGGGCAATGAAGTGGTTAGCTTCTTCCTCAAAATTTTCCTGAGCTCAGCCGCGGTGAACAAACATTTGTAATAATCTTCAAATGCGGCTCTTATTTCACATGTCTCTGTGCAAAGGGGACCCCGCGACTCAATTTGCAGTATCTGTTTAGAAAGTGCATATTACTTTTCATCCCCGAGGGATTTTTTAGTGGGTTCCTCTTCAGTGAAATGGGTAACACGGGAACGAATCTTAACTCCTCTGTATAAATCTGTATCATGTTTTTTGTATCTGTGCTCGAATCACATTTATCTCGTCCCCGTACAATCCCGGTTGTTGACTATCAAAAGTATGGAGCTTATGAAGTAATTCATAAAGATAGCGCTTTTCAGCTTTTTTTTCTATGCGCTATTTCGCATGAAATACTAATTGCCTGATACTTGACTGTTTCTTTGAACCTTTCCCATTGAGCGAAAATTGGTAGCTGTCGACACTGTGTTACCTCTTGTACCGATTCTTTTACTATTTTAACAAAACAATCTTCGCGCAACAACTGTACGTTAAGCTTCCATAGGCCCCAGTTTAGAGGGGTTTTACGAAAATTTTTAGAACCCCAAGAAACAGTGACCAAGCAATGGTCTGTAAAAAATATGGGCTTTACAGCGTAATTATGAATCATGAGACCATAAGCTTAGAGATACATATACACGGTCAAGCCGAGCATGAGAGATGCCTCGAAAGTGCGTGAACCTCACCGAGGATGGTGCATGCGCTCCCACATCTATTAAATTGTGGTCATTCAATAGTTTCTGCAATAAGGCTGCACTTTCATCATAACGATTTGTTATATATGAATGATCTCTAGCGTCACAAACACAATTAAAGTCTCCAAAAACTACCAAAGTTCTGTCAGTGTTTAGTAGCGAAGTTAAAGAAAGGAAAAAAGAATTCCTTTCATTCACTTTGGAGGGAGCATAGACACAGATAAACCTCCAATTATGGGAATGAAAAGATAAGTCGCAACAAATGAGGCGTCCTTCCCCATCAACATGTATACAGTGACGTCAAAATATGATTCAAGTGCTTTCTGATTAATAAAAAGCATCCAGCGGATGCACCACGTGCTGGGCTGATGTATAAATTGTAATTACGGAAAACTTCCAGTGCAAGATCGGCGTCACGAGCAGCGGAAATCTTAGTCTCTTGCACTGCAAGTACATCAATGTTGTACTGCTGAAGCACGTGGCGCAACTGCCACTGACGCCTTACATTCCTCGCGAAACTCAAGAGAATAGGCGAACAGGTAGGGCGCATGATCCACCGCGTTTCCAACAAGCGGGGTGGTCTGCGGGGCAGGGACGCGCTTCGGCTCGCGCATGCCTTCGTGACTAGCCGGATCCTCTACGCCGTCCCATACCTTCGCACTAACAAGCAAGAAGAAGAAAGAATAGATGCCATCATTCGTAAGGCTACTAAACGAGCTCTGGATCTCCCGGTGGCCACTTCCAACGCCAAACTGAGGGCGTTAGGTGTGCTCAACTCCTACCAGGAGTTGCGGGAGGCCCACCTTATGAATCAATATACGCGGCTCGTGCAGACGGCTCCCGGGCGCCGCCTGCTAAACCGCTTACATATACAGCACACTTGCACTGCAGAGGAGGCGGAGCGTATTCCGGAACTGTGGCGGCATATGCTTTCGGTCGCTCCACTCCCCAGTAACATGGATAAGCACACGCGCGAAAGCAGAAGACAGGCGCGGGCTCAGACGCTTGAGAGGCAACACGGCTCCCGACCTGGTGTATTCTACGTAGATATAGCAGGGCCTTCGCCCACGGGATTTTACACGGCCTCTGTAGTTCACCGGGAAAAGCATGTCAATGGGCTCTCGTTCCGAGCACAAAATCCAGAGCGCGCTGAGGAAGTCGCGATAGCGCTTGCTGCTGCGGACCCCCAACTCGAAAGTTATCATCACGGACTCCAGGAAAGCATGTACTCATTACTTGGTAGGAGAGATATCCCCCCTAGCCAGCCAAATTCTAAAACGGGCTCTCGCTGATCCAGCCCCGAAACGCATCGTATGGGCTCCTGGCCATCAGGGCCTACGAGGTAATGAGGCCGCTGACGCGGCCGCCCGAGCGCTTACCCACCGGGCTCCTCACCTTGGCTCTTATGACTCGGAGGCCAATACACCGCTGCTGCGGTTCAAAGAAATTCTCACCTATTATCGTGACACTCACCGTCTTCACCTGGCTCCTGCAAAGGGGCTGAGTAAGGCGGAAGAGCGAACTCTAAGGCGCCTGCAGACAGGTACTCTACTCTGTCCTGCAATCCTAAAGCATTTCGATGCGAACACAGATGGGCGGTGCCCACACTGTGGGGAGACGTGTGATATCTTCCACATGGTATGGGCATGTACGAAAAATCCCCACCTACCCCCTTCCCCTACCCCTTCCCGAGAGGCATGGGAGACTGCCCTCCTCAACTGCTCATCACTAGAGTCTCAACGGGCTCTGGTGAGACGGGCGCGAGTAGGGGCCTCGTCATGCGGTGTCCCGGACTAAGGACGCCGACCATGTAGCAGGGTATTGCTTTGGCCCCGTACCTCTCTCTTTTGTAATAAATGTTTTTCATCATCATCTTACATTCCTCAAGCCACGTACGTTGAGTGTCGCTACACACATGGGAAACGTTAGCGCGGTAGCCATTTTGATATCTTACTACTTTTGTAGGTCACCTTTAGCCACAGGCCAACCTGTGGCTTTACCTCCTTTGCACTTTTTAGGAGCACTTTCCTCAGGACGCTGGCATAGGCGGCGCGTCTCTCGGTCCCCAAAGAAGGTGACACGTGGACCACACGAAGACAGTTGCTCTGTCGTGTCTGGCGCACTCGTTGTTGCTTCATCGGTGACCGGTGCCTGACGCTTCCTTGTCTGACTGCAATCCATTCCTTCTTGTTCCTCATTGTCAGGAGGCTTGTCCTTAAGGCCTTCCAAGTGGTGTTCGTCAGCAGCATTGCATTCATTTATGCTTTCACTGGCGTCGTTAGAGGTGTTATTTTGCGTGCCAAGGGTATCCATGGACAAGTGTTCCGCTTCCTTTAAGGCACCTTCTGCTCCTCCCGCTGCTTCTCCTGTCGCATCAACTACCTCAGTGACATCCATAAGATGATCGAGACGTTGGTCTTCTGTGCCTTGGCCAGAACGGAGTTTGTTGGCATAAGTCGACACGCAGCTATCCGACGACTGACCAAAACGCTGGCATTGCAAGCACCTCGGTGTTTTGCACTGTCGTCGTACATGCCCCACTCGCTTGCACCGAAGACACAGTGGAGGCCTACCGGGAATAAGTACGAGGCATTGGTGGCCATAGATTGACATAAGGTGTGGTATTGAGCTCACAGTGATGGTGTCCTTGAGCTCCAAGGCAACGTCTCTATTTGTTGTCATCCATTGTTCCATTCCTGCACATCTCCATGCCTCTCTTTCAACGGACTTCACAACGTCGTAAGCTTGGAACGCCTCTTCAACACGTCGCGATTCAAGATGAGGCGGAAGCCAAAGTAGTTTCAGCCTAATATTCTTGGTCTCCGGATCTAGCACCATGCACTTCAGCCCTTTTACACGGAGCTCACCACAAGTGATGAGTTTCTGTTTCGCCATGCTGTTTGCACACGTAACCATCCATACATGGCTCATTTGATACTGGCCAACTCCAATAATGTCCGCTATGCTCACTACTTTAAGCAGCGCGTCACGGAAGTCTAGTGCACGGTACGACCTACCACTCAAGTCGGCATGAAGGAAAACGGAATTCAAAACATCGTTACCGGTTGGAAGACGTGGCAGGACGACTTTATAGCTTGAGTCTTCATCATGAAACGGAGTCGATGATCCTCGGCCGTTGGCCGGTACGCTGTTACCAGCAGAGAGCATTTTGGAACGCAGCCGATCGGTGCGGCTTCTTCTTCATCATTCTTCTTCCACAGCTGCTCTGGCGTGGCAGGTTGGTGATGCGCTATTTATGGCTACGCTGAGCCGTCTAGCGTGAATTGTGAACGAAAGCGCATGAAAGGGGCAAAGTGTAATCGAATGCGTGGTGTGAATTTCCTCCAAACGTGGTTGGTTGGTGCCCTTGGCTCACGGCATCCCCGCAATCAGAGTTGCGCAAAGCTAGCGGTCGAATTTCGCCCGGAATATGGACCTTAAATATACCTCTTTGTAGCACTCGAGTTCTTGCTTCACTGCGTAATTGGCAAATCGGTTCCCTTTCTGCAATTTATCGGCAGAAACCTGCAAAATTTCAAATCAAGGAGTCTCCACTAAATTTTGTAGTTGTGGCGCCATCTGTCAACACTGAGACAAAACAAAACAACAAAGCTTTGTTGTGAAACCGACAGATGGCGCTAACGTTCTGTTCTTTGTTGTTGTTTTTAGTTGAATTGGTAGCAATTGTCTCCGCACTGCGTGTTCCGCGTGTTTATTAATTGTGTGGTTCGTTAGCGCGCGAGAGCCTGTTGCATTTATCGAGAGATCTTGTTATCAGAGTTTTATTTCTCAAAGGTACTGAGTTTAATTCATTCTTCTGACGTAGCAATCGATATCACGCCAATAAATCCTAGCATAATTATAGTGTACTAGATTATAGTACACTATAGCATAATATCACAGTGAAGCAGGGGCATTACAGTGCCACGGTGCCAGGTGTGTCATGCCGGGCTATTTCAGAATGTCAATTTTAACGATAGTTATAGCGTGAAAACAGAACGACTACAAAAAAAAACAAAAAAAAAACAAGAAGGACAATATCGTTCGTGTCCTTCTTGTCTCTTCGTTGTCAGTTCTGTTCTCGCGCTATAACTATCGTCATGTCGTACCGACTAGCCCAAACTGCCATTCTAAATCCATTTTAAGCAGGCGACACCTCCTCTGTATACCTCACCCCCCAAAAAAACAAGTCAACGTCAGAAACTTAGAACCACGCGACGCAAGAGCTGCTCTGATCTAACTGAAACTTCGAATTCAGATACCCAGCCTGTTCTCAAACGCGCTAACATCCACTAGCTCGGTCGAATGCAGTCGTAAAGTGTTTAATCATGCAACGTTTTCGAGAGCTCAACAAACATTAGGCCCCGAGTCTACATTATGACAGAATTGGCGAATCTCCCGTTGACATAAATCACATTGAAGCAATAAAACAGTTGTTAGCGCTCGGCCTGTCTTTTTTTTTTTTTTTCATTCGTCTTTTCTAACATTGCACTGCTTTTAGCTTTTACCACGTTGATAATTTGTAATGATTTATCCCTAGCTTCCGCAGACATGAATGGCGCTTCGCAATAATTGAGGGAAATAAAGGTGCAATGGCTCCTTTTTTGTTGTTGTTGTTGCTTCCTTAGTTAGGCACAAAACAGTAATCAGAACTGGCAGACAATGACAACTTACCGCTGGCAGGTACCGAACCTGCGACCTTCGAATAATGCATCCGATATTCTCTACCAGCTGAACTACGGCCATCGTTTTCGCAATGACGCGCATTTAGAGCGTATGCCCAGCGGTGGCGGTTCGAATCCTTACCACCGGGGCGATCTGGCCGTTAAAGAAAAAAAAAAAAAGGAGCCTCACCGATGCGCCACCCGTCATGCACATCGACCATGTTGCGACAGAAGCCAGTTTCGCGGTCTGTGAGCGGTAACCGCGCAACGTGCAGCTCGAACTCGTGTTGAGTGAGGCGTGCGGAGCACGGTAGTGAGTTTTGTACGCGGTGCAGAGCACCGGTCTCTCGAGTTTGCTTTGTAAACAGCGGCGACTGAGCGCGGCGCGTCTTAGTGATTCAACTGAGCGACTTGTGTTTCACATCAGCTTTTCTTCCCTTTGCAGGTCAGTGGTTGCTCACATGTTTTGACGGGATTTGAATGGCGTAGGCTGCCTTTTCCAGACGCTTCACCCCTGAAAAAGCCGAGTGTCGGGCCGGGGGACGCCTGTGCCCATTTGGAAAACCGGTGGGTGACCGGCGGTAACGCGGGTTTGAACCCACGACCTCCCGCAGCCGAAGCGGACACTCAACCACGAGGCCACGGCTGCGGTGGCTCTGCCGGCGCTACAACGCGGATTTTATGTGCACCGTACCGTTTCGCTATACACATAACAGATGGCGCTAGCGTTTTTGAAAATCGCGAGATCGGCATTGTAGCGTTCCCGCAACAGCGCTTATGATTTGCAAAACTACCTTACGCTCCATGCAACGTTTTCCACGCAGTGCAATGTTTTTAAGAAACTAGAACTATGACTGTATGAAGGGAAATGCAAATACGCCAGTGGCGACAATCTCCGAGGCAGTTGAGATTCGCTGGTATTCGCGCTGTCTGCAGACAAAACATACAAGCTACTAAACGGTCTTTGTGTTTGAAGTTGGAGAGGACGTTGATAAGGACGCAACGCTACTAGATCGCTGGATAAGATGGTAGCATATAGGTGTTCTGTTTTTTTTTTATTGCATTTTTGACTACAGGTCAAGCTAATATGACAATCACTATCACACGTGTTTCATGCGTGACAACGCGTCAAACAAAGATATTACATCTTCATTACAGTCGGTAGTCTTATACACATCTCGCACTTTCATAACAGCTTCCACGAAACACTCATTAACGGATAGAACTCTCACATAATTCAAACTCAAATCTCTCAAATCATTCAGTTCAGCAGAGAGGGGTGGGGGGGGGGGGGGGAGCGATCGCTTCCCTCAGTGCTTGCGTTGTTAGCACCCCCAAATCCTCCCTAATTCAGTGTCTGTAGTCCAACGGTTAGGACAAATGATAGACCACGGTGAGCAGAAATTCAGTATTTAGGACGTGATGTGGTTCTTGCGATGATCTGCGATGGTGGCTGCGGGCCTCTGTCAAGTTGCTTGTGCCTTCAAGCAACTTTTACCCGCAGTCTCCTCCATCGCTGATGGAAATAAAAATTATTATTATTATTATTATTATTATCGTTACTACTAAAATCAAAAGACTCAGGACCCCTCGACGTCTCTGGTTTCAGCACATAACATCGGTTTTACCTCAAGTAGAGTGCCTAGACTTCTAGCCACCTTTCCTCAAGCGATCGCCTTCGCTTAAAATGAGTGGCTGTATCCGCGCCTAGACTGCATCCGATTAACTACAGACACTCCGGCCGCAGCACCTATTCAAAGTAGGAAGACACAACATATCCCATGCGAATGGAAGCGGTACTTCATCATGCATCCACAGTTCCACGAACATGTACATATATTGGACCTGGCCAAGGCTCGAGCACGCCAAATGCTCATATGTGCTCTTTGCAGCTGGACCAGTGAATAGAAAACGCCCTGGACGCACGAACATTTTGTTTCCTCTCTCTCGAGATCACAGCCAAATGTGCATCTTTTGACTGAGTTGTGCATCATATTCTGCGCTTTCTATTGACACGCACTTACCACTCTACTTCACATTAGTTTACTTTCATTAAATCTGATGAAGACTGAATATGACCATTGACTTTAGCACGCGTTTTGGGAGCTGTTAATGTTGTCACGGTACTATAATGGTGGCAATGGCCTTGTGGTCAGTTGATTCTAAGGCTTGGGTTCTCAGGGGGGCTGTTTCTCTAGACAGTGTGCTAAATCTATGCAGTAGCTCTTGCGCTAAATAAAGCTAGGGTTACTCTATCGACAGAACCCTCTGAAGAGGCATCAAATGAGTTTAGTACAGCTGCAACAGTGGCTCTAACTCTTATTTCAAGCTCAAAGTTTCATTAACGGCACCACGCAAGCATCGCACCAGCCCCATACATTCAAACCTAGATATAGTGAAACTCAGCTATAACAAATTATTGGTCATAACAAAGTAGGCGAAGAATACTTTTGTCATATACAGTGTTCTGAATAACCATATGTAACAAATTTTTGGATATAACGAAGTATTTTTTAGCAGATTTGACATTGTTATAATGAGGTTTGAGTGTATTTTTGTCTGGCATGCAATCATGTATCTTATGCTATGTTTTAACAGCAATATTGATGACCTCGTCCAAGATGAATGACCTGATATAAAAAGCTAGAAAAGAGTTGCAAACGCATGGAAATTATTGTTCCCCGAGAGTGAGGCGCTTGATTCGGAGAGATCTGTCAGTCTCTTTTGTTCGTTCACACAGGCCGCCTTAACTTGTCCTTGAATCTTCATTCACATGGCAAGCTTCCACCAAACTTGTCTGACTGTTTCTCGGCAAGCTGCTGTGCGCTGAAACCATTCAACTGCCCAAGGTTCTTCGGCTACGTGTTTTGTGATATTGACAGTCACACATGTAGTGCAATTAGACACACCGAACAACATGCCTTACTTTTTGACGCACAGAAAACGTCTTCATTTTCAATATCCATTTTCGGTGCAAGAATTTTGAGAAAAGTTTTCAAAAACTATATTGGACACACGAAAAAAAATCTGCTGCTTGTGATATAGCTTCCATGAGGTGGTCAGTGTTGCTGACCACCGTTTTAGAGCATATGGGCCCTTAAAGAGTGCGTACTGCATACAAACAATTTGATGTCCACTCGACCCCTGGACCAGGAAGCTTCGCCATCCTCCTATGCGTCTATTTTGACACAATCAATTTTCACAGGCATAAGGAGTCGGCTGGGAAATTTCAGATACACCGTCTGCCAGTTGGTGTGATTTTGATTACTCTTGCTAAGTTCTGGCAGCAAACAATGGAGTGTTGGATCATGCGCAGTGCTGTATGGAATAGTAAAGTTGTCCTCATCAGAAACAACGCATTGGCACGTACTGTCCACGAAGCTGCATACATCCTGAATTGTGGATAGGCATGGTGTGTTCTCGTTAGGTATAGAAGCCATGTCTATTGGAAACAGGTTTTCTATTTCATACCAGCACTCCTTGTTCCATTCCTGCCCTAGGCAACAAAGTTTTCAGGCATTGCAGAGGCTCTTCAGCGGTCCTTCGAGCTGTTCACACGAATTCTCGTCAATACTAGATTTAGAGCGGCCTGCGATGACACTAAATTCTACACGTAGCAGACGACGTTTCTCCAGGGGTGATTCAGATTTGTATTGGTAACTTAGCGCGTCACCTTATATTTGTGCAGCACTCCCTTCAAACATTGAAATTCGTCTCATTTTCCATATTGCTCACAGTACAATGGTGTCTTGTCAAGAAGCCGTAGGTTGTACCACTTTCTCGTGGTGGCATCAAGAAAGCATGTCAAGTTTTGAATTTTCTTCGTCCTAAGATAGCCACTTATTATCTTGCATTGTGTATTCATAAACGAAATA